CATCAATCTTGTCATCCTTGGAACCTTTTTTTCGAATGTTTTGAAACTTTCATTATTGTTTTAGTTCACTATCTTGAAACTTTCATTTTCGTCTTAGTTTATAAATGACTCGCAAACCATTTTAGGATGTAATATTATTTTTTTAATAGTAAATTAGTTTCGATACTATAAAAATAAAAATCTTTCACGAGAACAAAAGTTTGGTTATAACCGAATTATTTCGATATCGAACCGAAATAATTCGATTACAAACCGAATTAATCGAATTTAATTTGGTTCAGTTTTGGTTTTCATTTTTTCTAATTTGGTTAATCGAAAATCGAACCGAATTAAGCTTAACCGAACCGTTTAATTGTTTGCTCACCCATAATTTTAACTCCAAAAAGAGTCCATTATATTATTGTCATTATAATAATTTATTCATGTATAATATTAAACAAATTTGATATAATATTTACTAATATATTAAATCTTCTCTATAAAAAAAACATTTGAATTATGTGTTAAAAAATAAATAATTATGTAATAAAAAAAAACGTGTATTTGTTTTTTTAATTATATGCTTAAGAGACTAACAATCATTTAAGCATAGATATTTGTATATATATATATATATATATATATATATATATATATATAGGTATGTATGTTTGAGAGACTAATTAACAATATTAATAACAATTTTTTGAACACGTACATTACTAACATGTACCGATAATTTTTATAAAATTTTAATTAATAAAAAATTCACCGTAGTGAAATACATTACAAGGAAAATTATTAAAAATAATATAATATATTTTTTAGCATTAAGAACAGATTGGAGACTCAATCTATTATATTGAAAACTTAACATGTTTAGCTACGAGAGGTATTTTCATCAAATAAAAAATCATGTGCGTGTCATGTAATATTTTCACGTGATTTGGCCGAAAAAATTAACCGTAAAGACAGATTAAAAAACTTATTTAAGTAACAAAAACATAATTAGCTCATTTAAAAATATAAAGACATTGAAATCTCAACCTATTATATAAAGACACATCAAGCTATTAGTCATTAATTTAATATTATTTTCATAAAAAAATACAAAAAATAGATTGAAAAATAATGAAAAAAATTAAGGTACAAATAAATTTAAAAATATAGAAACCAAGTAATTAGTTATTGAAACTAAAGGACTTATTGAATTCCGTAAAAAAAAAACTAGAGGGACTAATTTATAATTTACCTATGCTACATGTCAACAATATCATTGGGAAGTCTAGTGCGGTATAATTGCACTAACCAAGTAGGACTATTAATGGATCGGATCATAGTAATCCGGATATGATTTATTTAATAAAATGGATCAGATCAAATCTTATAAATTTGGATCGATTTTTAAAAATATGAATCTAAATCTTAACGCATTCAAATTGGATGTGAAACTCTATTGGATTTATCATTTGGTTTTTATAGAAAATTTATGCTTACTACATTTAGTATATTATTTGAATATAAAATATATTTCAACCACAACCTATGTAATAAAATGTATTAAGATAATATTTTATCTATCAATTTTGTAAAAAAATTCAAAATATCACACAATTCAAAAGCACAAAATCAAACATTCTTAATAAAAATTTGTCTTGAACTAAGTAGGAAATATGATAAAAAATTTTAAAAAATAATAAATAAATTTTATTTCTTGTCCACGTGGTAGCAAATTAAATATTTATTAATTCAAATTCCAAAATGATAATGCTACAAGTAAAGACTCGCAAAGAAAGAATGAAAAAAATCTATTAATATTATCATTTATTTTTAATAATTGGTTAATGTATTAAGAGTAGAAATATAATGAGGTAAGTAAATAAAATATCAGTTTTTTTTTTTTTTTTTTGTTAGATTTGGAAGCCAAGCACCCGTACGTAGTAGTTATTGACTCAACAATTTCTAAAAGTAAAAATGCATGATAATCATCGATAACTCTACCTCCTATACCGAATGTAGCTTCTGAAGCAATAATAATTGCTAGAACATCATGAGCAATTTTTGCAAAGATAGAAAATGTATCATAATTGGTTTTTAATATTGCATAATATTAAACTTGTTTATTCTAGGACATACTAGCTCCTCCAAGTATTGTTCTAGTTCGACTTTTTTAGGGCATAAAAATTAGAAGATCAAATTTGTATATACCATCGATCAAAACCACTCAATCGTTCATCTCCAAAAGTTACCAAATTGTTGTTGTTATCCGACATATCTTCTAAAGATTTTAATGAAGAAGAATTACTTCGTATTCGATAAAAAGATAAAAAATAGCATGACAAACTCTATGGACATATTTTTAAGCTCCAACACCATGAATTTTCTCATAATAATACTCTATTAAATCTAGCTTAAATCTTGGATCAAGAACCACAACAATAGCCAATACTAAGCATCATTGCTCCCAATATTTGTTGAACTTTTTTTTCATTAGTTTAGCCGTTAAACAAATAAATTCATGCTCACTATTTTCTCATTCACTCAAACATAGTTGAATGTCACATATGTTAGGAAAGAAAAGATTTGCGGTTGGAAAATGAGTTTTTGAAAAATGGTTTGTTGCATCATAAAAAATTTTCAAGCAACTATGTATCACCTTAGCCACCTCTCATTTCTCGCTAGATGGATTGTGCTTATAGTTCTTATCCATTTCCTTCGATCAAGAAAAACTTCACTTTTTCCTAATGCACTTTTAAGCATCAAGTAAGTAGAGTTTCACTTAGTTAGACAATCCAAACTTACTTTTTTTATCCTCTAATAAGGAGATCTTTTCAAATACTTCACACTTTTTTGAATCTTCACAATTAAGTCGCCAACAATTTCCAACCCACCCCGCACAACTAGATTAAGAATATGTGCACTACAACGAAGATGAAACAAATCTCCTTCTAAATACACTAATGACTCATCATAAAGCCAACTTTTTCACACTTCTCACCATTGGATCATAATTTGATGCATTATCAACCACCATTGCAAATAACTTCTTATCAATGTTCCATTCTAAAACTATATTCTTTGATAAATCTAAATAGACTTTCTCCATCACGTGGATAGTCTATATACTTAAATGTAAAAATTTATTTGAGTAACTACCAATCATCACCAATGAAATGAGCACTCAAGCAAATATAACCAAAATTTTGATGTTTTACTATCACAAGTCAATTGTATTAGCCATCTTAGAACCAAGTTCAATATAATTGTAAAATTTTGTTTTTCTATTAGAATTATAGTATTTCTTGACATAATTTTAAACACTAGTTGAACATCTTTCAACAACATCTCAAAATAATCATGTTCAACCATGTTAAATGTATAATTATGCTTAATTACTACCCCAGCAAAATCCATTCTGCCTTTTTGTTGATCAAACCTAAAAGTCTAGGTAGTAATATTTTCTTCGCTTGCATTATTAGTCACATCTAACATTTGCTGGCCTTTAGCTCTATGCTTCTTTCCGACACATCAACCTAAATGATTTCTCAAATGAGAAGTTTCTTTAGTGCTTTGGCCTACAGGTTCTTTCTTACAATGCTTACACTTAATTAGCAATATCATCTCTACTTGGTCCTTTGAACTTTTCAAAATCTTGCCATAACTTTGATGTTCATTGTCTTTTTCTAGATAAATTCGGATTTGTAGTAGCCTCAACCTCCATAGCATGCATGCTTGCCATTATCTCCTTTTGGTGTAGTCATCTAGCAAATAAATTAAAGTACATAAATTTCATTAGACAAAGTATAAGTGTTGAACCTTATAATTCTCAAATTTTTGAGATGTACTGATGTCAAATATTTTTACTTGGAGGTAAAGATAGGATGTTAAACAAAACCCTCATATTTTTTTAATAAACGTTGTTGTCGTGACTTTCATAATTATTAAAAAAAAAAAAAGAGAAAAAAAAAGGCATGAATTTGATAAAAATAAAAGCATAGAAAAGAAGTGGGCTGTACCTTCTATAAATAGAAATTGAATGTGGCAAAGATAGATAGAGGATTGATGAGAAAAGCTTGCCTAAAGTATAGCTCCTGATCTTTCTTTATTTTCCTTCTCTTTGCCTTATTGTCTTGTGTTTTTGCTGTGTCTGCTCTTGCTAAGGGCTGTCAATATTGTTTCTGTCAAAAGAAACTCCATTTATATATACCACATGCATTTTTTATATATTTATAGGGTTGACCTAATCTTGTTGTCAATCTGTTTGAGCCGTCACTTGTAAGTAACCTTTTTCCAGGATATCTGGACCAAACTTAAAACATATAAATTATATTCTTATTTCTTAGCTTTAATTTTTCACAAGAATTGCATGAATTGAACCTTTATATAGAAAGTTATGGCCCAAATACTCAAATATGTTGAAATTAGAAAATTTTTCTTTTTCTAAATTTATTTAGGAAAAGAACTCTAACTGCACAAATTTTCTCCAAATTGCTTTGATTTTTTTTTTTTTTTTTTTTTGTCAGCCCTCCCTTTTCATTCTCTTCATTTGGCCCTGATTCCAATCGATTCATTTTTCCTTCTAGTCTCTTTTTTTCTCTTTTTCTTTAAAAAAAAAAAAGAAAAAAGAAAAGAAAGAGACTTCATTATGTTCAAATAAAAAAATTTATGAGATTTTAAAAACATTCAATATGAGAAGATATGACTTATTTTAACTTTATAACAAATAAACTTTAAATCTCAACTTAGTTTCATATTTATATATTTTTTATATTTAAATTTTTAAAATATTATTATTAATTTCGAATCATATCAATATAGATCCGTATTTAATCTATAATCTATTTAATAAATGGGGTAATGAATTCGAATCATAATTGGACTCGGATCAAATAATTGTTCACCAAATACATTTAATTACATCAGATGCAGATTGAATTTGGATTACGATCCAATTCATTTACAGCCCTACTAATCAGTGCTCTGAAATTGTGTCGTGTCCTAGAGACATTGCTCATGATATACTACGAAAAGCCAACTGTGCCTTGAGGGAGGGATGAGCCATCTTGATCAGTTGATCTAACATTTTCATTTTCTAGTTCAATACTGGCTCCTTTCGATCTGCTAAAAGTATCAGAAGGAATGTTGATTCCAACAAATCCAATCAACACAGCTACAGCTCCAAGGCCATCCATGAGACGAGGGGCATTGCCGATAAAGGAATCAACAATAGCTGCCAACGGAACCTGAATTGAAAGACCAGCTGTGGCAACTGTAGTGGTTGTCAAAAGGACAGCCTTAGCCCATAAATAGTCACTCAGCACATTATCCAACAAACCTGTTTAAGATGGAAAAAAGGAGAGCTTTTAGTAATTTTAACTCATATAGCATGCTCTCTCAAAATCAGATCATCCACATAATCTGAAGATTATGTTACAACTTTATGAAGGAAAAAAAAAGACTAGTAATTGCACATCTTTATGTTTGAAGAGTGAATATCCTGGAACTAGGGCTAGGTATATGATATTATGCTCATAGCAAAAGCAGTTAGCACACAGTTGATTGATCACACAATTGTATGCATAGCAATATGAATCATTCTATAAGACATTGCTTATTTTACATCAAAAGTAATTTATACAAATATAATTAATATATTATAGTACCAAAGGGAATATACCAAAACCTTCCAATTTTTATGCAAAAACAACTCAAACCAAGTATTTATACAAACCATGAAACTCTAAATAAAGTATAATGAAACTTCAGCATTTGTTATGCCAATACAAATGGAGCTCATTCATGTGTTCGAATAGCAACCGTTAAACATGAGACATTCTTTGAACTTCAAGTTTGCTATATGTGTGCGTATGTGCACGCATTCCTCATGATTAGAACACAACATATTATGCTTATGATAAAAAGTAAATCATATAAATGTGTTGGCATCACATAATGAACTACTTCACAAGACAGCACATAAGCTAAACCCAGCATCATTAATACCCTCATGGCCCAATTTCAACGTTTTTAAGTGATAACCAAGGATTAATTGCCTGAAAAGGGTGTTCTCATGTTAAGGAAGAGAACAAGATTCAATCAAATATCCGTTGAGAGAAAAGGCCTCACAACCTTGGCCAGAAATTTCCTGTTCACTGTCCTAAATATGAATTTGATCAAACAGCCAAAATTAAAACACTATATCAGACTGATGTTCCAATTATATTACTAAAGTTAGTTATGAAGGCAATCATTAAACGTAGCCTCAATATAATGCATACAGCACGACAACCGTCAGCAATAAACATTGCACTGTTCAAAACAAATATAACCTATTTGTCAACTATATTACAGAGTTTGCTCTGTAAATATGGGTAACAGATTGCAAAGTGAATAACTGTTAAGAAGATTAGGAAAGCAAGGCGAAATGGACCCATTCAGCCATTTTACCATTAGCAAAAAGCATAGTTTCTCAAATTTGGAGCGTAAGTGAACAAAAATCATAAGCTAAGATGACAAAACAGGTATGAGGTATGTATATCCTAACAACATGTACCCTTTTTTGAGGTGAAAACAACAAATAGTTGACAGCAAAGAACTTTGAATCCAAATACTGAGCAAGAATGGCTAAAATACGAACCTTTGCCAACAATTAGACCAAACTGATTCCATGTCAGCTTATGAAAAGGCTCTAGATTGGTGAGATCGACAACAAGGGCAACTGGAAGGAAAATGATGAAGTTGAAAAGCCCTAGATATCCAAGGAACTGTGCCATACTAGCATGCCCGCTTTTTCCATCATCGTCAGGCAACTTCACGCGAATAAGTGTAATATAAACGGCATAGAATCCAGCTGAGATCAGAGCAAGAATGTCTCCAAGAAGAGGTTTTGAAGAAACTGCACTTAAACCAGTTTCTGAGTCGCCCAAGCTGACAATTATAGTACCAGCCATGCAGAGAAGAACACTTAAAAGCTTCACCCAAGTGAACTTTTCACCCAGAAACACTAGAGAGACCAAAAAGGTGAATAGGCTGGAAACACTGCTTAAAATAGTATTTGACTGCACACAATAAGGACAACGATTTAATCATACTAGTCTAATGAACCATAGATGAATGCATCATACAATAAGGAAAGACACTTACCGTTACAGAGGTATACTTCAATGATAGATTGAAAGTCAGCTGTGCCAAAAACCAAAATGGGCAGATAAGCAGGCTGGCCTTTGCCACCCTAGCGCGTGTCCATCGTCCCTTTTCATCTACTCCTCTATTAACATCTTCGTCTACTTGAAAAGGCAAGGTCCTTTCAAGCTCATTTGATACAGATTTCAGATTTGAATCTACAGCTTTCTCATGAAGACTACTTTCACCCTCTTCCATAATCACAGATGGATTCAACCCATCTGCTTTCGCAACCAAATTACCATCTCCTAGGAGAATGGCCTGCTCTGACTCTCCCAGTTTTTCCAAGGGGCTACTCTTTTTATTCCTCCACAACAGTAAACTACCATAAGAATCCTCCAAATAGCGTGCGATTTCAACCATCGGAATGTAAATCACAAACAATGAATTGCAAATGTACGTAATGAGAAATGGCGAAACACCATTATCTACAACAGATTGAACCACAAAACTAGCTGCTATCCATATAGTTGCAACAGCAACTATGTATACCAAACCCAAAATCCATCTCCAAGCCTTACCTTTCTCCATATTTTCACAACCCAATTTTTACAATATCTCCAAAAAAGCTCAGATATTTACACTAACTCCAAGTTTAGCTCATATCCACGTAAATAAAATCTCTTGTACAGATAATCTCCACATACCCATGTCAAAGTTTGCACCAAAACCTTATCTAAATTAGCAAAACCAAACTATCACGAACTAAAAAAAAGAAAAGAAAAGAAAAGGATTGCACTAACATGAATTTGAAAGAAAACCCATCTTAATGGAGATCAAATTTCACCAGGCAAGCACCTTATCGAATTAAAAATCCACAGTTTCATATATAGCAGTTAAAACATTAATTTTGAAAATAAAATCGATCAAAGATAAAGTATTACATTTACTTGCCTTGAAAATCAGCTGATAATTCACCGTACGATGTGGGCTTTCTACGTGGAGAGAGAGAGAGATTGAGAGAAAGAGAGTCGCCGGACGTCCCTGGGACGGTTACTAGATCCGGTGAGAGTAAATGGCAAATCAGGGTTGGTGTTAGTTGACAAAGGTTGTTACTTGATTATGGGCCGGAGTGGCCTGAAATTGATGGATTGCAATGTGGCCCATTTGCTGTCTTTTATTTTTGCTTTTAATTAAGATATAAAACAAGCTAATTAAATTAGTTTACTATACATTAATATTTCCAAATTAAATTTAAATTTGACTCTCTGATATGAATAGTTTGCCTCTGTCATTGTTATTGTGAACACCGTGATGATCAGAATAGTTTGTGATGGTGGAAAGGAAAGATGCATCTTGTTAAAGAAGATCTTCAAAACTTGAGTTGATATTGTCAAGAGCGAGGTCTGAGAAATAACGTCAGCAACCAATTTCTCTACTAGTTGTAACTCTAATGGAAACAAGGTTAAAAGGAGTTTGAAAAATAGGATAAGAAGGTAAGAAAGGATAATAAAAATCATAGATAAAAATTAAATTATGATATAAAGTTAAAACTAATTCAAAAAAAGAAAAAAAAAGCTTTGAATATGAAAATTTAGAGACAAACAAGAACTTTTCTATCAATAGATTTTAATTTACCTTTAATTATGATTAATACATTTTGTTTGAAAGAAGCCAAACTACATTGAATTTGGTTGGCTTTTGGTATTAAGTTGTACTCGTAAAATATTATGAAGAGACCATAGCGTTGAAAAGTGCCATATACAAAAGGTTGTCGTAATATTGGGGCATTTTCTCTATTGCACAACAATAACGATTTAATGGTAAAAATTACCCCCAGTTTATTGCATTTTGATAATTTCAAACCTTTATTATCAAATTACATAATTTGAATTTTGTTATAAAATAATAAATATTCATTATCATTTCATATTTCTATTACTTATTATTCTTAATGTGATTTAATTCATTATTTAATATAAGAAATTGAAAGGGTGATACAATTCATGCATCTTTTAATAGTTTATAGTCTCTTTCAATTATCTCTTTAATCTTGAAGCCTATAAATAGGCTTGATTGTTCATTAGTTGACATACAAGTATTTTGTAGAGATTGAGAGATTATTTGGAGTTGTTATCTATTGTATTCTCTTTATTTTATAGTGAAATTATTTCTTCATTATTTTTCTCTTCAATTATATTGTTATTACTATATCTTTCGTAACACGTTATCAGCACAAAGTTCTAACCAATAAAGATAATAGACCATGAGGTATGTATCACCAAAAGACTTAATCAATTGTTTCAACTATTGGATTTCTTCTACACAAGTGCTCTACCAAAATGATCTAAATTATTTAGATCATTAAGAGGTATATATCTAATTTATCATGTACTTTAAATCTAATGATACATTGAACATACATTTGAAAAACTTAAATGATTAAATATATAAAATCTAATAATCTAATATATATTATTTGAAAAGTTTAAATTTTATTATTATGTTTTTTATTTATTTAAATTTTATCTTTGTTTCCTAATATTATTATTATACTTTGCAATGTATAATTTTAATGATATCAACCATCACAAAACTTGATTTTGTGGCCCTTGACATTTTGGGCAAGAATTATTGATTATCAATGCTTGATACCGAGTTAATATCATCTACTTTTCATGTCTTGAATATGCTCCTGCAGTAGCATATCGAGAAAAAAGTTTAAGAAATATTTTGAATCAACTTCATACTTGTTCATGGCTAAATAAAATGAAAAGCTATTGATGAAAAAGAATAAATCTCATCTAATTAGATCTACTCTATTATCCGAAGTGAATATGACAATTTATAATAATTTTAGGCATGAACAAAGACATGATCATAGCCGACGTGGTCGAAATAATTATCATTATAATCGTGATGACTATAATATTATATCTCATCATCGAAGTGGATAACTATAAAAAAAAAAGAGAGAAAAAGAATGAAAATAAATAAAGTCAATACTCCGAAAATGAATGTTATAGATATGGTATGAATGGACATTGGTCGTGTACCTACCGTATACCAAAACATCTCATTAAGTCTTGTCAAACCTCATTGAAAAAGAAAAGAGTAAAATATATAGGCCAATTTTATATATGAAAATAGAGGTAATTGAAATTAATAACTTGTTAGCTTTTCTATTTATAAATAAGATATTTTATATTTTCTTATAATTTTTATTGTATAGAGATAGTGATAATTTATTTTACTATATATTTATTTATATATATATATTTATCTATTTAATTAATTATTTTATGTTAATATTATATATGATAATATTAATCTAATAGAAAGCTCTAGAAGAGCGATTATATTATTACTTAAAAAGATAAATTTTAAAGACTTTAAATAAACGATTATATCATGACTCGAAGAGATAAATTTTTAAAGCTCTAAAAGAGTGAATATATTATTACTTGAAGAGATAACTTTTAAAGGCTCTCGAAGAGTTTATATATTATTACTTAAAGTGACTAATTTAAAGGCTCCATAAGAGCAAATATGTTATTATTTAAAAGGATAAATTTTATTATAAAGTGATATACTGTTCTATTTAAAGTCTCATAGAAATTTGTTAAATTTCAAAGATATTTATCTAAATTGATATCATATCAAGCTAGCAAATGTGAATACTTATATATTATAATCATTATACAAGGTAAAAAATATGTATTGAAAAATTTACTCGCTTTCTCTTTTAGTCTTTATTACAAATATTGGAATGATTGAAATAAATGCTATAGTAAACCGAAGTTTACTAATTCAAATACTTTTATTATCCGGCATGATCAGTTATGTTATCCTAAGTCTTTCATGATGCGAAAAAATTATTAAAAATTCATATGAACATTTATTGAAGAGGTAGAGGATTCTTCAATTTAATGAATTTCATGTTCCGCATGTTCTCAAGGAAAATTGATTATTAAGTCACCGCCAAGTAAAATTGAGATTAAATCTCTAGTATTTTTAGAATGTATTCAATCTGATATATGTGGATCAATTCATCCACCATATGAACCGTTTAAATATTTTAGATTTTAATAAATGCATTCACAAGATGGTCACATATATGCTTATTATCTACTCAAAACCTAACATTTTCGAGGGTGCTAGCAAATAATTTGATTTCGAGCATAATTTTCAAATTATGCCATTAAAACAATTCACTTTGATAATGTCGATGAATTTATTTTTCAAGCATTAAATTATTATTGATTGGCTATTAGAATAAAGATTGAACAATTTGTTTCTTATTTTATACTCGTAAAGGTTTAGCATAATTATTTATCAAAAGGTTTCAATCGATAGCTAAACCATTATTTATAAAAACAAAACTCCCTATTTATGCTTCGAGGACATGCAATCTTATATGCAATAACACTTATTCACATCGGATCCACAAGTTATCGAAATTATCTCCCCTTTAATTTGTTTATAGTCATGAGCCAAACATTTCATATTTAAGAATTTTTGGCATTGCATAGGCATTACAGTATATATCTATAGTGCTCCTCCATAACGAACTAAAATGAGCACTTAAAGGAGATTGAAAATATATGTTGGATTTGAATCCTCTATAATAATTCAATATCTTGAGGCATGAACAAGAGATAATTTTATCGCTCGATTTATCGACTCGTCATATTGATGAAATAGTTTTTCCAATATTATAGGGAGAGAATAAACAAAATAAGCAATTGAAAATGTTAAAAAAGAGATTATATGGAGTACTCTATCTTATATCATCTTGATTCTTATACAAAACAATGTGAACTAAAAGTTTAAAAGATAATTCATTTACAAGATATTACAAACCAACCGCTAGATACATTCTTAGATTCTAAATGAGTAACTAAAATGTATGTCTCCACTAAGAATGATCCTATTATAATTGATGTCTTAAAAGGATAATCTATTGATAATCTATTAATGTTATAGCTAATGAATGTAAAGCACATCCGAAGCATGAAAGACCGATCAGTTCTAAAAGTATAAATCCCTAAAAGAAAAAGAAAAATAATTAAAATAAATGATGCAAATATTGATAAAATGACCCATGATATTTTTGATAATAGACTTCCGGAAGAAGTCCAAATGCTTGAAAAAAATACGAGAGATTTTGATAAATTATGTCAATACAGGAAGAAAATAGGATTGAAAGGAAATATTTATTGATAAGATTTTTGCATATAATGTTTCAATTGATATCTTGAATAAAAATAAGGATGCTGAGCCGAAATTTATTGAAGAATATCAACATAAAGATAATTGGTCTAAATGAAAAGAGCAATTTAGGCGAGATTATATTCTTTTACAAAAGAGTAGTTTTTTGAATCCATAGCTAAAACACCTGAAAATGTTAAGCTAGTGGGATACAAATATGTATTTATGCGAAACGAAATAAGAAAGATGAGATTGTAAGACACAAAGCAAAATTTTTAACACAAGAGTTTTTACAAAGAACTGACATTGACTTTGCGGAGACATATTCTCCTATAATGGATGCAATTATATTTTGTTATCTTATTAACTTAGCAAAATTT